CCCAGTCGAAATTAAGGCCATCTCTACATGCTAAAAAGTTCCTGGAGTGACAAAAGCTGCCTTATTACTCAAGGTTTAAATATGAAATGTTGAATCCTGGCTTGTAGTTATAAAAACAGATGACATCTTATGTAAGGCTTCTAACAGTTTTAAATTTAAATCCTGGTCCTTCATGACGCCCTTCACCTTTTTCTGGTGGAATACTTCCTGAGAAAACCTCATGAGCCAAAATAGAAGTTGACTGGAGAAAATTCCCTGTTATCCAACAATACAACCGTCTTTTGGTGTAGTTACTATACAGTTTCTTTTACTTTTCTTTGCACAGATTGGAGGAACTACTTTTTATCCTATTCAGGGATTTCACCAATAACAGAGTTACTTTTAAGTACCATTTCCTTTCAACCTCATATTTGGGTCCTTTCTTTGTTTTCAGAATTCAGTAAAGTCTTTGTGCAGCTTATATTGGCTGCTTGTGTTGTCATGTCTCCATTCTGACAACACCCCACCCCCCAACCCAAGTTGTTTGCAATTTTGTATTTAGTTTCTTTTTTAAACTGCATCCTCCATTAGCTTCTCCTTTTGAGGAAGCCTATTTAGCATTAATCTTAACTGTCAAAATCTGTTTCTGGAATTCTAAGATCAATGTAATTCATTTAGTTTTAATTTTCTTGAAAATGTAAGATTGTTTCTTTTCCCCACATTCCCTGTAAAAAAGGAAGAAGCATTTGATGGTGCAAGAAGTAGAAACACAAATATTTCTCTTAGCAGGATGTGGAATATCTCAGACGATTCAACAGAAGACTGTAAGGCACAAATACACATGCGAGGAAAAGATACATTTTTACCAACTGTTATTTAAAGATTTATTTAAAAATAATATTTTTATTAAAATTTCAATTACAATAACAAAAGATAATACAAACTAAAAAGAAAAATAAACTTTAAAAGTGCAAGAAAGAAAAAAAGTAACAGAAAAAAGAAAGAAAATTATTTCTAAAGAATGTTGCTTTTCATGCTCAAAAGAAAGTTCATAGATACATTTTCTACTTGCAGATAGTCCTCTGTTAACAACCATTTGTTTAATAATTGTTCAATGTTATGGTGGTGAACAAGGAGTCTTGCAGTCAATCCTTGAAGTTGCAGCTGTCGCCGTATCCCTCTGGTCATATGACAACTAGCTTGCAATTAATAATGTTGCAACATCCTGAGACCATGTGATTGCTATTTGTGACCTTCAGTGTCAGCTTCTCACAAGCAAAGTCAGGAAGCTAGCAGGAGGTCCCAAATAGTGACTAAGTGGTGCATCTGGTGACCACAACTGGGACTGCTACAACTGCTTTTGTAAGTTGGCATGGTCATGTATTGCACTTTACAATTGTATCATGTAACTACATAATTCCCAGTTCCAATCACTGTCATTAACCAAGGAATATCTATGCTCCACCCAAGTAACATAATTATATTTGCACACACATTCATTTAAAAAAAATGAATTAAAAACCCATTTTCATACCAGCAGCCTGCTCTCTGCAAATCACTTCAAATTTTGAAATGTCTTTATTCACATCAAATATTTTTAGCCACATATTTTCTTATATCCTGTAACTGCTTTAAATAAACAGAGGAGTCTGTTCTTCTTTCACTCTCCAGAAAGTATTCTTCCATTAGATAATATATCTGCAACTTATCCAAGGCCTTCTTGTGCCGTATGCTTTGTAGATTGTGCCTCACTACAAATTCAAAAGCCAAAAGGTGCTGTAAAGTACATGGGATGGGAAGATAGCATCCGTTAGCAGTCAGGTTTTTTCTAGCATTGCATGTCTGCCTGTTGTAGATGCCAGGCTATGCTGGGAAAACTGTCTTTGGTTATGAAGTTATTGAGAGCTCTAACATTAGCATCTTTTTGCCTTCAAACTGGGAGCACTGGACATCTGTAGTATTTTGATTTATTTTTTTAGGGAATAAATAACAAATGTAAACTATTCCTGGTTTCATGGATATCTTCTGAATCAAGGAAAATGTCCCATTATAGACTAGGATTATGTATATGAGTTAGACTCTTCACTTTGTTGAATAGAATATATTTTGCCAGGTATTTCTTTTAATTTAATAAATTTCTGATTCATGCAATGTTAGCAAACTCATGGAATTTAGGATGCTCTTGGTACATCATGCATATGCAAGGAAGTCATTCTACTTTGAATAATACACCTATATGTTCTTTTTTAAAACATCAGGCTTTGGATCATTTCAAATTTTATTTATCTGATTTGGATGTATTTGTTCAATTTTTTGGGGGAAAGATCTTCAAAGTTACCCCCCCTGGAAGCCCTGGAAGCTATCTTTTTCTTTGGATCTTCAGGGCTGCCACACTTAGTGCTGTGGGACTGACATCCCCTTCAGATTAAAAATACACGACAAATGAGAGATTTAATCTAAGTTTCTCTTTATATGAAAAATAAACAATTCATTTTAGATTTCAATGTTATATGAATATAGCAATAGTAACAGCATTTAGACTTATATACCGCTTCATAGTTCTTTACAGCCCTCTCCAAGCGGTTTAGACTCAGCATATTGTGCTCAACAATCTGGGTCCTCATTTTACCAACCTCGGAAGGATGGAAGGTTGAGTTGACCTTGAGTTGGTGAGACCTGAACTGCCAAACTGCTAGCAGCCAGTGATCAGCAGAAGTAGCCGGCAATGCTGCGTTCTCCTACCGTGGCTCAGTATAACAAATAAAAACATGGCACCGAATCTATGTAGGTACCTTAAAACAATCCCATGTGAGACTTGGAGGTAATATTGTTTATATGGGTAAACTGGGCCATTTTTAAAAAATGTATGCGTTAATTAGGCTCAAAGGAACACCAGGTTGGACAGCATCAGTAGACAGATCATTCAAAAGATCAGTTTATGATGATGACAATATTATCAAAGTACCAGGACAATTTTCAACCATGACATTATTTCTTGGCACAAATACTTCAAATGACCTTCTTTTTTCCCATTACTTGGAAATTTAACCCAGACAGCTGAACATTAGAATGATGCAAATAATTATTTAATGAAATGGTTGTTTAAGCTACCTTTCAGAGATCATTAATTCTTAGACTTAAGAAAACTCAGGCTAACACAAGATAACACATTATCTTGATGTTATTAAAAACTAAAAATATTTAAAACAAGAATAGGAAGGCAATATGTGTAACTTGTTTGATTAATTATATTTGATCTGGATATCATTTACTGAACACATGTATGCATACACACAGAGAGCCTTCCTGGATTTGAGCACAATTTCTGGTAGCTATAGAGGCATGTCCATGTAGTTTTCTTGGCAGCTATGTAAAAAATGCTTTGCCATATGCCATTGCCTTCTTCTAAGACATTTCTTTGACTTCCCAGTCTCTCTGGGGTTTTATGATCATCTCTCAACTGAGGACTAAGCAAGTAAGACTCTCTTGGATTTTCCCGCCATATTAGCCAAGATCCTAGTAGCTATTACCCATTCAGCTGCATTCACATGTTTACGAGTGACATTTATAAAACAATACACTGAATCTATTGTGCTTAATGTACAAACAAAGTATTGGTAGATCTGATATTGCTTAAGCAGAATGTAAAAGTCTAGCTGACTTTAGAAATTAATGAAGCAATATCAGAACTAATAACATTTCTACACACACACACACACACACACACACACAC